TTTTTTTTTTTTTTTTTTTGCGGGGGGAGCCTCCCAGTATTACAAGTGTAAGGGGATTGTTGTACATAATAAGGTGAAATAAATTATGTAAGAAGCCAGGCATAGTGACACAAGCCTGTAATCCCAGCACTTGGGAAGCTGAGGTGGTAGGATCATTGAGAATTAAGACCAGCCTGGGCTACAAAGTGAGCTCAAGGCCAGCCTGAAATGCATAACAAGACCTGTCTCAAAAAGGCACAAGTGGGCTGGGGAAATAGCTCAGCAGCATAAATGCCTGCATGGCAAGCACAAGGACCCAGGTTTGATCCCTGGTACCACATGCTGTGCCAGCCCTGAAACCGGGCATGGTGGCAAATGCCTGTAATTCCAGCACTGGGGAGGGTGAAGCAGGAGAACTAATAGGTTTCAGAGGCAACAGCAATGGCGGCAGTGGTGGCAGCACAGCAGAGAAGCAGAAATGGGGGAGGGAAAGCCTTTATTGACTCTAAACACATGGAGAGGACCGAGGGTGGGGAGATGGGCAGATCCTCTGACCTGAGACAGGGAGCCTGAGACTTTGTGGATGTCTGCCAGGGGCGGAGTTTGAGGGGCGGGTTTAGTGATGTATAAGGAGCTGATTGGAGGCTCCCTTGTGTGGGCGGGAAAGGTCACAGGAAGTTGTACCCAGGGTTGGAGTGGGGAAGGAAGAGGAAGTGGTCATTGGAACTTTTTTGTTTTGTTTTGTTTTGTTTTTTGGAACCGGGGATTGAACTCAGGCCCTTGCGCTTGCTGGGGAAGCGCTTATTCCACTGAGCCATCTCCCCGGCCCTAGGAAGTGGTCATTGGGAAGATAAGCTGTTGCTTTAAGGGCTTCAGCCATATCAGAAGACCACCATAATTAAGCAATTCTTACTAGGGCCATAACCTATCAAGAACCATTATGAATCCGAGCTTTGTAGAGAGACCCTGTACCAAATACATAAATAAGTAAAAAAATTTTTTTTTGCGGAACCAGGGATTGAACTCAGACCCATGCGCTTGCCAGGGAAACACTTATTCTTCTGAGCCAGCTCCCCAGCCCCAGTAAATCTTTTTTAAAAAATTAAAGTTATGCAAGTTATGCAAGATATTTTTTTAAAAATTTTTTTATGGGGCCGGGGAGATGGCTCAGTGGAATAAACGCTTCCCTGGCAAGTGCAAAGGCCTGAGTTCAATCCCCGGTTCCGTAAAAAAAAAATAAAAAATAAAATTTTTTTATGCAGATATTTTGACAGCATCTGGAACAAACAAAGGTCTCCAATTCTATTTAAATTGCTACCCTGCTGGGCATAGTGACACATATCTGTACTCTCAGTACTCTAGGAAGAGGACAATTGAAAAAAGTCTGAGGGCAACCTGGGCGATTTAGCAAGATCCTCTCTCAAAAGAGGGGAGAGTGCTGCAGATGTAGCTCGGGGTATATGCCCGAGTTCAATTCCTAGCAACACTTAAACAGGAGCAGGCACAGGAAGAAAACCCACAAGAGACCTCTCTATTTGTGGGGACAAACACAGGAAATAGGTCGGTGTCTTCTGTCCCAAGGCGGGAGAGAGAGAGAGAGAGAGAGAGGTGTGTGTGTGTGTGTGTGTGGCCAGCTCAGCCCACCAGGGGGCGGGGCTGGCTGGCATGTGGTGCTGGGGGATTGAACTGCGGTCCCTGATGCCTTGCCAAGCTTGTTCTAAGTAGGTGCTTTAGACCACTGAGCCATCTCTCCAGCCCCTCTTCTGTCCTTTAAAAATTCAGAGTGATCTTGGGCACTTACAGAAGTCTGCTGTACAGATGTTTTAAAGAAACAGACCTGGAAGAAAAGAAACAGACCAAGTTAATAGGACTTAAAAGTACAATGACATGCATTGTTTCAATATTTAGTATTTCACGTAAGAACAGGGTCCATCGTTGATTCCAGAGAGGACTGATTCAGCAGCACGGTGATCTCAGCTTTGGTAATCGCATGACCTCCTAGTTGTAAAATGGCTGCTGCAGTGTCACACCTCACATTCTGCAAACAGCCTTTCAGAAGAAGGAAGAAAAAGGGTCTCATGGCACAGCACTCTTTTGTCTTTATTTTTGTATTTAGTACAGGGTTTTGATATAGGGACATGAAATTCCCAACCTGGCCTGAATGAGTTCGTGTTCTCTAAAACCAAAGAATGAATTTTAGGAACAAATGAAGGCTGAAGGTAAAACTTTATTGGAAAGGAAAGCTTCTGTCAGAGAGGGACAGAAGGGGGTCTCGAGCGGATTGCCCAGGAAGCTGTCTCCTTCAGGTTATTTTTATAGGCTAAAACCATGTGGGGTTAAGGTAGAGACAAAGGGGTCCTGCTTAGGCAGATACAGGGTGGGACAAAGTTATGGTCAACCAATGGGATTACAAGCACCATTGCTCAGGTAAAATTTATTAGGCCTAGGACCAAATGGGGTAGCAAGTCACGTAGCAAGCGGGCGACCTTATCTGGTGGCCTTCAGTCAATGATTTTTCCCGACTAATGAGCAATCCTGGATGCCAGCTTTAGGGAGGTCAGTATTTGTTTGATCTTTAGGTCTGGTTCACACCAGGAGCATCTCCCCAGTAAGGTGTCTGGTCTTTGTCATCCCCTTTGAGGGCCTGTCCCCGTCTAACTACCTACAATATTTCTATCTAACTCAAGCTGCCTGCAACATTCCCCCCTCTGAAGAAGTAACCCGAACTGCCGTGAGGGGACCATGGGCGATGACCGCTCTGGCTTTTTCACATTGAAAGGGGTCGTAGTTGTTGATCGGCAGTCAGATGAACTCTTCAGAGGCTCTATCTAAAGGCCCTCGAGGGGGCCTGGCCCTAGCTCAGGCCTTTAAGTGGCTGCTTCCACAAAGCTGTCAGCCTCAGGTTGCTGGAGTTCGGACCTCACAACTCTCCCGCTGGCCAAAAGTGCCCTGAAGGCATTCGAGGAACAAAAAAATAAAAAAATAAAGGCCCTCGATAGGTAACAGGCATTTTTCTCTTGGGTGGACATACAGCTTTGAGTCTAGAGGAGACAAAACCAAAGAAACAAGTATGCATGGGCCCAATAATAGTATCAACAGGAGGATTATGAATATAGTCAACAAAGGTTTCCACCAGGAAGAGTTAGTAATGGCTTCCCATAAGGATAATAAAGATAAGATCCAGGGGGCTTCAAAGTCAGACATATCATTGATTTGTTTTTTAATATCCTGAACAGCTACTGAGATATTTGCAGAAGGATCAGGAATGTACACACAACATTCAGTTTTTATAATTGCACAAGTACCCCCTTGTGCTGCTGTTAGGGAGTGCTGTTACATCCAGTGCCATCCAATTTTGGAGGATGGCCTATCTCATTAATTTTACTTCTTCGTTTAAAAGAGAAAGACCAGTTGCAGTATCATTTAAGGCCCACTGAGTATAGCTGGTTAAGGCCTCAATGTGTTTCATGACCTCTTCTAGCCCTAGAGAAGGGATAAAGATAGAGGCCAAGTGATCATACCAGTGAAACACGCTTCTGGACCATCGATGTTGTAGGCCGAGTAAATTTGCAGGTTTGTCA